ATCTGTCTCTTGAAAGTTGGACATGCCTGATATACATCTACAGACATTACACTCTTGTATATCACAGACTTTCAACATAATTACGCATAAGGAACATGGAAAGGGGACGCTCCCATTAGAATCCTGTCTCTTTTTCATTGTGTGCAGCAAAGGATCTCTAATTTTAACGAAGTAGTAGGATAAGCTTAATTGGAGAAGTAACATTTTTAAAGCAAATCAAAGTCCAGGAGGAGGCTAAACGGTTTTGGATTTTTAAGGGTTTCCAAGATCTGCTACTGAGATAGTGCACTTTTAAATCGTTTTCGAAAGAAACAACAGCACTGCAACTCATGGCCATTCAGCAAAATGCATCATTATAAATATCATGAGTCAGTATCATCAAACATGAAACAGAAACTTCAATTCTGGGGAATTGAATCAAGTAAAAAAGAAAAACCCTACTCTGGTTTCACTTAATGCTTTCCCTAGTGAAAGGTGATGAAAACAACTGATGTTCTTCCAGCGCAAACACCAGTTCTTCTTGCCAACTGCTATGTAAGAGAATATTTGCAGTTTTCCAGACTAATCCTAGGCACAACTTTGGCAGCTGAAGCATCAATAAATGAACACAATTCAAGAACACCATTTGGGCAGCGTGAGGGACAAGGAAACATAATGTAAGAGGAAAACTATTGCCAGGAATTCCAATCCTTTAATCAGGAATTTAGGGCTTGTCCACACTTCTCCTTGCCCAAGGAGTGCCAACTCTATGTCTTCGGCCCCCTAACATCTGTTGGGAGAGTGACTGGGGCCCATCAATGTTGAGGGGGTGGAGGAGGCCAAGCGCAAAGCTGAGTGTGGTATGGCTCCTGAGTGTTAGAGAGGAGGAACCACCAGCCTTTGAAGCTGTGCTGCGCTAGATGTGACATTGTGTGCAAGATGTCACACAAATGTGATGCGTGCATGACATCACACATGTGTGTGACACATGCCAGGGCCCCTCAATCTTGGGTGTAAGTCAGCGCCTCTCCCCTGCCCTGTGCCTAGAAAGCATGGGTCCAAGCAGTTTTCCATTTTCTCCACTACATTCCCCAGGAGAAACAGCTCTATACTGCGGAATCAGAGCAAATGTTCATCCATGGAAAACCCAATTGACATTTGCTCTTACTCAGTTGTAAAGAGCAGGTTTTCCTGGCGGGGGGGAAGTGGCAGGACAAGCAGAAGTGTTAACGAGCCCTCAGATATGTGTCCTAGCCAACAGCTTGGGGCTGAATGCTCAGGCTTCAGGATCAGTAGTTGATCTGCAGGAGGTTTGGAGCTTTTGAACTAGTCAAACCTAGTACAAATGCTGGGAACTTCCCTATTGCCTATGCCTGATAATTTGGTAACTTCTGGGTTTTGGCACGTCTAGAAGCTGCAGCCCAACTCAAACCTCCAGTTGAAACTGACCTTAGGTAACCTGAGCTGGAGCATGTGCACAGCCAGCTGAGATTAAGGTAGGGATGCAGAACTTGTGGTTGTCCCAAATGTTGTTGGACTCCAGCTTTCACCAGCCCTCTATTTATATATACTTCAAAGGATGGGATCAAGTTGTTGTTGTTGTTTGTACTCATAGATCACTACCATGTTATTCTCTTCCAGTAATATGCAAAACAACAACAAAACCTGCTTCTGGACACTGCACAATATGCTTTCAATTTCTCCTCAAAGCTCCATGGAATTTGTATCTTTACTCCATTTACTGATATAAGTAGCAATCATGAATAAAAATCCTCTGGTCTGACTGTTAGTGCAGAACTACCCATTACAAAGGACGCAAGGATGCCACTGGAAAAAGGAGCATTATATCAAGGCACTGATCTACCACCACACACACCACAAATTTTAAAGGAGGGAGTTTGTTTCCAGAGATGTCGCTGTACATAATTGCCTCAGTTCTATGATAATCCTTCTATTCTTTGTTCGTGAAACTCCTCCAAAGAGCAAATGTCTTTGGGACTAGGGTGTTGAGTTCATGCCTTTGGTGTGCTGTTGGGCAGCTTATATGGTGCCCAGCAGATGTTGTTAGACTTCAACCCCCATAATCCCTGACTATTGACCAGGCATCCCCAAACTCGGTCCTCCAGCTGTTTTGTGACTACAGGTCCCATTATCCCTAGCTAACAGACCATGGTTTTCCCAGTAGTGATGTATGGAAGTGAGAGCTGGACCATAAAGAAGGCTGATCGCCGAAGAATTGATGCTTTTGAATTATGGTGCTGGAGGAGACTCTTGAGAGTCCCATGGACTGCAAGAAGATCAAACGCATCCATTCTTAAGGAAATCAGACCTGAGTGCTCACTGGAAGGACAGATCGTGAAGTTGAGGCTCCAATACTTTGGCCACCTCATGAGAAGAGAAGACTCCCTGGAAAAGACCCTGATGTTGGGAAAGATGGAGGGCACAAGGAGAAGGGGACGACAGAGGATGAGATGGTTGGATAGTGTTCTCGAAGCTACAAACATGAGCCTGACCAAACTGCGGGAGGCGGTGGAAGACAGGAGTGCCTGGCGTGCTCTGGTCCATGGGGTCACGAAGAGTCGGACACGACTAAACGACTAAACAACAACAACAACAAAACAGACCAGTGGTCAGGGATTATGGGAACTGTAGTCCCAAAACATCTGGGGGGCCAAGTTTGGGGATGCCTGCCATTGACTATACAGGTCAAGGCTGATGGTACATTGGATTTCATTAACATATTCAGGGCACCATGCTGGTTAGGCTTTTACTAGAAGGCCCTTAGTCTGATCCAAACAAGCAGTTCTTATGTTCTCCTTATAAATCTTTTGAACCCCATTCATGTGCAAGAAAAGTTTTATTTGGACTAGCTTCTCTCTCACTCACATTCTCTCTCTCTAAGCCTGACAAACTGTTCAACCTAAATGCTCGTTTTTATCTAATGCAACAGCATTATGAAGGATTTCAGGCATTTATCTCATAATCTGTGTCCAACTTTCTAGTACATGCAAATTGGATGGTGTCATCTGGAGCAATTGTCAAGTTCAATGACTTTTTCATTAAGTGCAAAGGACCTTAACATGTTAACCTTCTTTTGCTCTGGGCCAATGATCTCCCTTGTAAAAGATTCCATTGTGGGCAGAGGTGCTTTATCAATGCTAACATGTCTAACTCATGAGCTATCAACCTTTTAAAAACGGAAATGACTGCTCAGGCTTTGAAACTTGAGTTTTACCTGCATGGCTGCTGGGCTATGAAGGGCTTTCGTTCCTAGTTAATTAGCTTCAGGGGGGTCAAGATATTAGGCCCAGAAGCCTGTGGAAAATGGTTCCTTCTAACCTAGACTGGTCCTAAATCCTGCTGCGGCAGCATTGGAGCTTTGCCTTCTCAAAATACAGATTATCTGACCTTATACATAGGTGTATTCCTACACAGCTCGTGGACAGATTGAGGCTTTGTCACCAGTACCCCAAATCTCTTTTTCTGTCTCTCTTCTCAGACTTACCAAAGGCTGGCCCATTAGGATGACTTGGGTACTGACCCACCAACCTTAGATAGCTGTCCACCAGTCTGTCTCCTCATCCTCCATTGTTTTTTTTATTATTATTGCCCACCCTTCATCAGCAGTTCCCAGGGTGGTTTACAACAATTTACAGTTCTGAAGTTAAAGTAGAGTGGGCCCTAAAACACACATCTTGGGTGCCAAAGACCAGGGTGAAGATGTGTATTCAGCATTTACCAAAACCCAGATATTGAGGATGCCTGATACAATGCTTTAGAGAGAGAATTCCACAATTTAGGGGCTGTCTCAAATAATATTTGAGACCAGATATTTGGGACCAAAGTCATTTAGGGTGCCTCTTCCTGCTAGCTTTCTCCTAATTAATCCCAGTTTTGTCCCTTTGCAGGGTACAAAACAAGGATTAGTTGACACTGTCTGTCATTGGCTCTGACTCCATCTACTGTTGAGCTCCTCCGTCCTACTGGTCCCAATGGGTACCAGTAGGGCTGGTCAAGGGACGCGGGTGGCGCTGTAGGTTAAACCACTGAGCCTAGGGCTTGCCAATCGGAAGGCCGGCAGTTCGAATTCCTGTGACGGGGTGAGGTCCCATTGCTCGGTCCCTGCTCCTGCCAACCTAGCAGTTCGAAAGCATGTCAAAGTGCAATTAGATAAAAAGGATACCGCTCCGGTGGGAAGGTAAACAGCGTTTCCGTGCGCTGCTCTGGTTTCGCCAGAAGCGTCTTAGTTATGCTGGCCACATGACCCGGAAAAACTGTCTGTGGACAAACGTCAGCTGCCTCAGCCAGTAAAGCGAGATGAGCACCGCAACCCCAGAGTCGTTCGCGACTGGACTTAATTGTCAGGGGTCCTTTACCTTTACCTTTTTAGGGCTGGTCAACCCATGAGGAAAGGTGAGGCACCTGCCTCGGGCAGCAGAATTCACAGGGGCAGCAGATCCAGTCTCCAAGGAAGGCTTCCCCAGCTGCCGCTGCCACTCACTCCTTGGAGGCCAGATCTGCCTCCTCCTCTTCTGCCTCCTCCTCTACAGCTCAAAGGCTCAGTGAATAGGAGGCGTTGCTGGTCACCCCTAGGGAGGAAATGGAGCAGGGTGCATTCTGGGGCCTCCTGGGCTCTGCAGCTACTCAGCATGATTCAGAACAGTCCCCTTTCCCCGTAGCATATGCATTTTTGTACACATTACTTGGTCACTGTGTTGCAAAGTTCAGATACATGTAATTACAAAGGATGGCACTGTTTCAGTTCCTGCATTGCTTGGGAAAGTGTGAATTAGTATGCTTGCCTTTAAATGCAAACTGAATCAAATTTCTCCCTGATCTCTGGCCCCAGCCCTGACCAGGTAAGCTGCAGTGATTCCCCCCACCTCACCAGCCACTATGTCATTAGCGTGATATTAAACAGTATTCCAATGTTTTTCTTATCCATCCTTCCTCTCTGGCCCCTCATTTTGGTACATTAATAAGATTCCTCAACAGAATGTACAGAACCCAGAAGTTTAATAAATCTGAGAGCAAATCAGGAGGTCAGGCTGAGAGAGGCAGTCATAACACAAGGAGACCAAAAGGCAGACAAATTTTGTTCTTAGGATTTCATTCTAATCATCATCATCATCAACATCATCATAATATTGTGTCCTTTGTTTCTCCAGAAAAAATGGAGAAATGCTCTGGGTGTGGGTTTGTTTGCATCATGCTGTGAGATGAAAAAAGCGGGAGAGAAAAACTATTAGTACATTAGAAAATAGAGGTTGAAGTATCTGCTTTTGAGGAGAAATAATATTGATTTCACTGCATCATAGATTCATTCTGAATGTATAAGCAGAGTGTACTTCATCTTAATTGTAAAGCAGTCCACTTCTTAACCACATCCATGCCTCCTCATCTGGCAATGGAAACAGCATGCAGCAAAAGGTAAGAACAGAAGAGCCCCACCGTATCTGGCTATAGGCCTATATGTTCAACCATTCTGTTTGCACACTGGCCAACCAGGTGCATCTTCAAAGCCCGTAAACAAGACCCTAGTGTAATAGCACTCTTCTCACTTGTGATCCCCAGCAACTAGTATGCAGCAGCATTCTGCCTCCAGAAGTAGTGGTGGAACATTGCCATCGTGACTAATTGATTCATTTATTTACTCCTCTGGTAAAGGCTTCCAAGAATGCAAGGCAATCCTTAATTTAAACCAAACAAGTCTCTTTCTTTGGTCAACATGTTGCTGTGTTGAAATGAGGGCAAAACCAAACGATGCTAAACTTGTGCCTGGGAAATGGGCACCCTATTCCCTTTGTTCAGCGTTAGAGGGCCTTAGCTAATAAGGCCTGGTGGACATCCACTGACATCAGGGCTTACTCATTGGTGGCACCAACCCTGTCAGATGACCATCCGAGATATTAGAAAGGGGCATGGGTCAATCTGGTTCACCAATGTCTACATGGGTTGGGATTTATGCATGCAAATAGCCTTTGTATTTCCTCAAGTCTTGAATTGTTCTGCCTTGTTTTCTTTTTTAGTGGTAAACTGGCAAGAGTTTTGCTGGCTGGCTTGCTTGCTGAATTTTCTTTTACATTTTCTTTGGCTGTGCTTGTATTGGCTCTTCTCTGTTGATTTTTTTTATTCTTGTTCATGCGTATCTTTTTAGTGCCTTGTGCTGTTGTTTTTAACTGGGTTATTTTAATATATACAATATACACTGTAGTAATTCAAATAGTATGAATAATAAAAACAAAAACTAATTAGTTCATCCTCATGGCAGAAGGTGCACTTTGTTCAAACTTAACTGCCAAAATTAGGAATAATTCACAGCAGAAACTGCATGCATGTTCGGATTCTGAACCAAGTGAATTGGTTATGACATTCACAAATTTGTCATTTTTATTTTTTTAGCAAATGAGTCTAAAACTATCAGAAATGAATCTGGTGGAAATACCAAAGGGATTTGGTCCCCATCTGCACTATTCATTTAAAGCAGTGTTGTACCACTTTGAAGAGTCATAGATTCCCCCAAAGAAAGAGTTGTTAGGAGACCTCCTGCTACCACCCCGGGCTGCAATTCCCTATTAGTCCCTCTTCCCAGTGAACACTGGGAACTGTTGCTCTGTGTGGGAATGGAGGTCTCCTAACAACTCTCACCACCTTTAACGAACTATACTTCCTAGGATTCTTTGGGGGAAGCCATAACTGTTAAAAGTGGTATGATGGTGCTTTAGATATGGTATATGGTGCAGATGGGGCCCTACTTTCTGCTGCTGCAGTGGCCAGGACTTAATTTAATACAAAAGGGTAAAAGAATATTGGGAAATAATTTATAATGAATTGGAAAAAAAATGCTTAGAAGTAATTTTCAAAACAAACAAACAAAACTCCAAAAAACAGAGTCCTTTTTGCTGGGGATAATTCAGATGGAAATTTCCAGGTGTCAAAAAAGGCAATTTGTGTATCCCACTACTGCGGCCTGTGTTTCATTAGACCAAAAATGGAAAACGAACGAGGTCCCAACTAAAGAAGAATGGCAACTTAAACTGATGGAATATGTGCAGCTTATGGACCTAACATGTGGAATAAGAGAACAAGAAGAACATACATTTAAAGAAGATTGGAAAATGTTTATTGAGTATATAGGTGAAAATTGTGTACATTTGAAAACGTTGGCAGCTTTAAGATAAATTCAACAGTGTAAATAAGTTTTGATTGATGCAAAAATGAAATGCTGAATGGTTTAGTTTATGTAAAATATGCAGCGGTCTATGGCATGCAAACTGAACCATGGAAAGCGAAGAAGGGAAGTCATTGATATGGTAAGGTTGTTTAAGTGAATATTCTAAAATGTAAAACAGAAAAACTTGATAAAAATTATACAGAAAAGGACTTAATTTAATAGGCTTAAGTTGCAGGAGGGTAGGTTTTGGTTCAGCTTTAGGAGAAATGTATTAACACTAAGAGTAGTTTGACAGTTGAACCGGTTGCCTAGAGGGGTAGAGCTTGATTTGCCCTTGCTGGACCAGAGATTTAATAGGGATGTCCTTGCACTGGGTTTTCTTCATTGGTCAGTGGTTGGACTAAATCGGGGTGGAGAACCGGTTACCCTCCAGATGGGATACAATCCTCATAATCTCTCATCAATGGCTAAGCTGGCAAAGGCTGATGGGAGTTGGAGTCCATCAAGACCTGTAGAGCTGTAGGTTCCCTAGCCCTGGATCCCTCCAGCGCTATGATCTGATGACTTTTATCTAGTCCAAGGTCGAAGTTCTGTTTATAGCAGAATTTGGAATAATTTGCTTCATAAAAAATTAATGTGTTTCAAGCTAAGCAACCATTTTTAATATATATTTTCTAAGGGACTGAGTTTTTGTTGGTTTTTTTAAATAAAAAAACGGAAAACTTAAAACAGAAACTCTTGGCACTGATATAAATTGCCTGATAGCACCATCTTCTGACAAGCTGTAGTTTTGGAAGTAACCTTGAAGGAGCTTTTGCGTGCATTTTTTATAAAGGAAAATTCATCTGAATGCATATTTTTGGAGCTGTCAGAATGAATGATAGCCTCTTTGCCTAAACAAAAAACACAGGTTGTTCCAGGTAGCAGTGGGGGAGGTCTGTGGTATCAGTAAAGCACACCAGTGCATCCCGACAAAAGGATGTTGACTGGATGTCAGAAGAACAGAAGCACTTGCCTCTTGTGTTCTAATTTCTGAGAAGCAACAGAGAGTGCAATTGATCTGTGGATCTGCATGTTATGTAAGGAGGGCAAATTCGGACATCCTGCAAATGAGTAAAACACCTGAAAATGTTATGCATGTGCAAAATGGTTATCTTTCTCTAGGGATAGGTGACAAATTTGGTTTGGATTGGATCCTTATTGCCTAATTTGTACTCCTGAACCAATGTGTGAATCGAAAAGCACCTAGACTACAGAATTTGCTTTCCCCTGAATTTTCTGGTGCAGTTATCCAACCCCCAAAGTTTACAAAAATGCATAGATTAGGGAGATGTCTGTACAAAACTGCAGACATTCTTGAAAATAACCACCAGCTGAAGTCCACATTATGAACCAGAGCAGCATGGTTTTGACTGGAACATGTTGACAAAGCCTACCTGGGACTGTCAAAAGGAAGGGAGGGAGTCAAAAGGGTGAGCAAGCAGGGAGAGAAGGAGATACTGCATCTTGCCTGGACCAGAGCGTTGTCTTCCTCTACAGCTGTGGATCTTCTGCAGGACAGGCAAGCTCAGACCTTTGGGGAGTGAGAGCATGATGTCAATTCAACCCTTGTCTCTTCAGCATTGCTTCCTCATGCCTGCAGCTCCCCAACCACTTAGTGTCACTGCCACTCATTTCAACATTTCCACAATAGCCCCAGTTTATGTGAAGGGAGTGTCAGGAGCGGGTGCTGGGAGCAGATCAGCAATAACTCACATGACTTTGGTGAAGTAAACTCTTTATTCAAAGACAGCTCAGGAGGCCAGGACTAGTGAATACAGCAACACTTCCCAAAGGTCCCCACCTTCCTACAGCTCCCTAAAGTCCCTCCTTTCCTGGTTCCTTCCCAAGCAATCTGAGGCTCTGCCATCTTGCCTGTTTTGTGAACTGCCCTGAGATCTAGAGACAAAGGGCAGTATAAAAGTTTAATAAATACTGATAATAATAATGTTGTGTGTGCATATACAAATGTGTACATGTGAATGTGTGTCTAAAAACAGGCATGTGTATTTCATTTTTTAAAAGTCTGTTCCCTGCGTGGGCTGCTGTGGAAGCTTCTCAAGATTAAAAGCCTAATGAACCATTTCCATCCAAGTTAATGCCTCACTCTACAAGTGCTCTGGTATAATTTTGCAAGGTTGTTTACCTCTTGGCTATCTTCAGGGCTTTTAATTTACCTCTGCAAATTGTTGTGATTATAAATGCCATTTAGAAATATGATGGCCCTTTCTTTTATTATGGAGGCTCGTAGCAATAATGAATGTTCTTTGACATGTTTTCATAATCGTACAATCTTGTTAGGCAAAAAAATGGATGATGGAGATGGAGCCAAAGCACTTAGGAAATGAAAGGTTGAAGGGGAGGGGGAGCAGGGAAAGGTAACTGCTCACTCCTGAAAATACCACTTGCTTATGACTCGCAGAATTTATTTTAAACAAAATGCATATTGGCAACAATAGGGTTGCAATTTATTACATTTTTATGCACTCCTCTTTTCCGTAAATAAGTTTCAGGGGCAGTGCCATGGGACTTTGGTTTGCTTTTTGAGGACCGATTACCGGAGACCAGAATATGCAGACCTATGAAGAGCAAGATACACTGGAAGCTGCCATGTACTGAGTGGGACCCTTGGTCTATTTTGCTTACTGCTGTCTACCCCATCCTTCTCCAACCTGCTGCCATCTGGATGCTTTGGGCCAGAACTCCCATCAGTCCAGGTTTTTGAAGGTACCGGGTCAGTGAAGGCTGCTCTACATTGAATGGCAGTAGTCCTGTAGGATTTCAGGTGTGAAATCCTGGGGTGTGTGGAGGAACCTCTAGGTAGATCAGTCCTGAAACTGGGGGCTTTTGCATACAACACTTATGCTTTTCCACTGAGCTGCACTTCCTCCCACAGGCCAATTATGTCGCACAGCAGTAAATTAATCAACGCAGAGTCTTCTTCATAAACAGAATACAGTGGTACCTCTGGTTAAGAACTTAATTCGTTCTGGGGGTCCCTTCTTAACCTGTAACTGTTCTTAACCTGAGGTACCACTTTAGCTAATGGGGCCTACCGCTGCTGCCACACGATTTCTGTGCTCATCCTAAAGCAAAGTTCTTAACGCGAGGTAATATTTCTGGGTTAGCGGAGTCTGTAACCTGAAGCGTATGCAACCCGAGGTACCATTGTAAAACTTTTACTGAAGAAAATAAAGTTGTTCATAAACAGCATAGTTAAAGAGCATACACAGAGTGCTCATAGCAGCTATCTGTCTCTTCACAGAGGAACCGTCTTAGTTACTGATTTACTAGAGTCCTGGAGCCACTCTGTCTGCCTTAGCTTTACGTAGCAACAACAATAGCACTATTCCACAGACTACTACATACACAATCCATACAGCTCTCTGACTTGAGGCCCAGAGAGGCTGGCTACTTTTATAGGGAGAACGAGTCATCACCCAAGATGAGTCACGTGCCACAGTGACTTAGCAGTTTGCTGTTAACAGTTAGCAGCCTTAGGCTTAAATGATTGTGTAGGCCTTGTAGGCCTTACTGCTTCTTCTGCTCTCAAGAACCTTTGTCTCATGACAAATTACGCCAGGAGGGCGTGATGGATTCACTTAAATAGAATGTGCATCCCCTTTGTATATAGGCAAATATTCCCAGCAGTGAAAGCAGCCCTGCTTGCATGAAGCTCGGTTTGTGATACAGAGCACCCTTTTACTGTAGTTTCCTGACCAAGGTGTTAGTGTGGTACATAAAAGTTGCAAGTGGGAGACTGAGAGGAGCAGTGCTCTGGCTAACTGGGAACACACTCCAAAGTCTGGATGACAAGTTTGACTTAAACCAAAGAAAACAGAGCCCTGCGCAGCACCCAAAGTCTGGATGACAAGTTTGACTTAAACCAAAGAAAACAGAGCCCTGCGCAGCACCCAAAGTCTGGATGACAAGTTTGACTTAAACCAAAGAAAACAGAGCCCTATGCAGCCTGGTGTTATGTCCCCAAACTGTAGGCAGCAAGATTTCTCTGAGGGTGAATTCAGATGTGAAGAATATTGCATTACTTTTCATGATTATAATGCTGATGCTTCTTTCCTGTTTTCTAATTTTCCTTTCAAACCTGTTGCTGTGTTATGGAACTGTGGCTTTTTGACCAATTATACTGACAGGTCATGATTACTTTCATTCACACCACATTCACCACCCCCATGACTCCCCCATGAAAAGAGCAGGAAAGCACTGAATGCTGATATACTGCCCCATATATATTTTTTCACGTTACTCTCACAATTTTCCAGATTAAAGGGGCTGCAAATGGATTTCTTCTAGAATCAAATCACATGGAAATGAGCACTAAGCTTGTGCTATATTCCCATTAGTTTTCCAGAAGTGGCTTTTAAATCATGTGAAAGCTCAAATATAATGTGGAAGTTAGGGAAATGTCAGGTTAATGGAATAAACTACCATGTAAATGTAGCCTGGGTGTTTTTACATGTTAAGGAGATGAGAACATAAAACGAATTCAGTGCCACTATTATAAAAGTGGGAGAAAAATGTCTCCCTATCCATTTTTTTCCATGTTCCAGGCAGTTCTGAAAGAGGCTGTTCAAGTGATTTGGACATCATATTCTCATGTTTCCAGTAATAACAACAAACTATAAGATAGGTTAGTTCTGCACGCATTTGGATCAGAACTAAAATCTTGAAGTTATCAGTGCTGTAGACAAACTACTGTGGTTTAGAGACACCTGGGCACTGTCATAGCTAACAAAGCTGGTAAAAGGTGTTTTTCACCACCTAAGCCAACTTTTTTGCTATTGTTTTAGATGGCAGTGGGGAGACACCACTTGACTAAAAGTTGAGGGAGTCATAACAGTGCTGACTCCAGATCTTATGATTCCCTCGGGCAAGATGCCTCCATCAGGTCTTTGTTCTCCTCCCTGCCATAATCCTCTGTCCCTGGTCTAATTCACGGAGAGGAAGGCAGGTGAGCAAGAAGGTGATGGCAGCTGTTGTTAACTTTCTGCTCACTGCCATTGCTTTTTGAACTGTCTGCCTCTAAAACAGAGAGATGGAGAAAGCATGCAAGTGGCAATGGCAAAGGGAGCAACATGAAGGCAAGGAGGCTAATGTGATCAGCAGTGGGACCTGCATGAGATGTGGGCTTCAATAGATGTTCTTCCTTGCCAAGCCCTAATGTCAGCCCTGAGTCAGAAGATGGAGATGCTGGATTTAATTTAAGGGCCTCCCTGCCCTTTCTTCCATGATTTGGCCACTACTGCTCTTCATGTAATATTTAAAGCTACCTTCTTAGAACTGCGTTTAGGTACATGAGAAACACAAGAAGCTGTCCGTTCATTTAGCTCAGTACTATCCACAATGACTCTCAACAGCTGTCCACAATTTCAGACACCCCTACCTGGAGATGTCAGGGATTGAACCTGGGGCCTTCCTGCATGCACAGCCGATGCTTTTCTGCTAAGCTATGGCCTCTTCGTATGGCCTTGAGTCTGATGTTCTGGCTCCTTCTTAAGCAGTGGTGGGTACCAGTATTTGCACCAGGGAACAAGTTCAGAGTTTCTTCACTCTCCCCCGCCTCCCTTTCCAGGGGTAGCAATAAACTATCCAGTCATAAATGATTTAATGGAGCATGAAATAACACACAGTGGCTTCGAGCCAGAAGACAGGATATTTTACCGAAGAGAAGTGGTTATTAGGAAGGTCATTTTGGTTATTGTTGTAATCGAAAGCTATCACACCTCTGGTGTTTAACACGATGGGGCGATCACTGTTACAGTCTGATGGCAGTAAAAAAAATAAATGATAAAAAATAAAGAACGGGAAGCATTACATTCCTTCTCTCTTTTTTCTCTCAACAGCAGGAAGCAATGGTGTTTCAATACCTTTCATTATAGCTCATTTTACACCCCAAAAGATAGCAGAGTCCTAGTGGGGCTCCGATGTACCTTTCCAAAACATTGGCATTTGATGGTGAGATTGGAGCTCCCGAGAAAGGGGCATTATGCTATTCTGTTTGACGTGTGTATAAGGAGAATGTATCTGTGTCTACAACTCTGAGGGAATCATGAATCGAAAGTGTCCCTTTCAATTGTCACTCATTTGCCACTCTGGGAAAGCAATACAAAACATACCCCCTTGTAAATATTTCTGGAATATGGAGAGGAGAATGCAAACATTCAATTCTGGGTGCACAGAGAGGAAGACTGTCTTTGCAACAATCTGCAGCAGGAAGTCGGATCAGCCGTATACAGCAGCATATATTTTGTGGCAGATATCTTTGTAAAGGTTTGGAGGAACTGTGAAAGGTTTTCCAAATTTGATTGGATCAACAGAGAGTATGGACTGGGGTTGCATAATTCTTTTCATGTTTTTTTTTTTTTTTTTGCAGTCAAACTTCCCCTCCTCCCCAAATCTTGGTTTCCTATCCACAGAAGCAACAGGACCAGGGCTATTTGAGAATGTTACAGGGCGATATTGGGTTAATCAGTCTCTCTTTCTGCTTAACATAGCTCACAGGATTGGTGTGAATATAACCTTGGAGAAACAGCTTACATGTTGTCCCTAGCTACTGTATTTGGGCAACAATAGAAATTTTATTTTAAAAAAATTATAATAAAATTTCCCCTCTAGGGAGGAAAGAAACCTGACAAGAAGTCCATGGATCATGCTGCTGATCCTCTCGAATTCAGAACCCATGGCTGCAGCATTGAAATAAAATTAAAAATGAGGAGCCAGTTCATGCACCTCTTGCATCACATCTAGTTTGGCCTTGTGTTTTTTAGATGTTTGTGGAAAATTATGGAATTTTGTGTGTGTGAAATTATATTCTTCAAAAAAAAAACCCTCACAAAAAACATTTTTGTGTGTGTTGGTGGGGAGACAAATCTCACTGAAATTGCTAGGTGGGTGCTGCCACTTATGCTAACCTTATACAGCAACCTTATGGAGAGCTAGTGTGGTGTATTGGTTAAGAGTGCTAGACTAGGATCTGGGAGAGCAGAGTTCTAGTCCCAACTTGACCATGAAGCTCACTGGGTGACCTTGGGCCAGTCACAGTCTCTCAGACTAACTTACCTCACAGGGTTGTTGCAAGGATAAAACACAGCAGGGAGAACTATGCACACCACCTGGAGATCCTTGGAGAAAAGGTGGAATATAAATGCATTAGTATTAGTAGTAATAATAATATAGTGGACAAGGGTTTTTCATATTTTCCTGTTTTTTTTGTGACACTCAGGGAAGCAAGACTCTCCCTACAGGCTGCAAATTTTTGTGAGACCCAGTAAGGTAAGAAGCAACTCCTTTCTGAAAGTGCTGGGGCAATATCTCAACAACAACAACAACAAAAAGAGCAGCAGAAAATGTTTTTACAGAAAAAGAATATTTTATGGGGCAGGGGCAGCTGAGAGGGATGGATTTCAGCCTGGCCTGCAGGATATTCTCCATCCCAAGGACCTCATTCCCCTTCTGGGTAACAGTCCTGGGGGCACCTGCCAGTGTGGGGCAGGACCAGAGGCAGAAGCGGGCAGAGTATCCAGTGTTAATGCTACCTTTGTATAGTAGGCTCATATCTTCACATGGGTACAGCTTTATCCTTGCCCTGCATCCAGATAAGCAAGAAGCATTATCAAAGGCATATTCCTGCCAGACAGAAAGGCTCAAGGGGGGGGGGGGCAAAGCAGGACTGGCTAGGGGTGTGGCTTGAAGAAATCCATGTGGGCCATATAGAGACCTGAGGGCCACATTTGACCCCTGGACGTGAGGTTTCCCATCCCTGGTGTAAAGTCAATGAGTTTATGTGTGCATGGGGGGGGGGAGTGCACAGGTAGTGGGTGCCTGAGGGTGGTACAAATATTTCTCTCATTCATAAGCAATACTTTTCTGTTTCACAAGTCAGCACAGAAGATGGCAGGAGGCAGAGCTTAACAAATACTAAGAGAATAAGCAACACGTTTTTAGGAAGGATGTGAACTTAGAGATCATTTCTTTCAACGTTCACATCTGTATGGTTTTCTCTTTCGCCTTTGTTTTGCAGGAGATGCTAGTAGATCTTAATAAGCATAGCCTGTATCTATTACATCAGGGTATTGCAGAAGACAGGCATTTAAGATCCTCTTAATCTTTTGAAGATCCCTACTGTATTCCTGAACACCTGTGCCTCTCTTTAAGTTGCCCTTGCTTTGAGGGTTTAAGTTAGACCCTTCCACGCACACCCCATGGCATTATTTGAACACAGACAAGGGTGTGTGTGTGTGTGTGTTGTGTGTGTGTGTCTAGGAATAAGATCTTTGTTTTCATTGGTGTGTTGATTCCCCCCCCCCCCTCTTTCCAAGGGATAAAAAACAAGGCTATAAATCCCAGCGGTGGAACTTGAAGAATTGGGTTTGCGTGGTTGAAATCTTTTGAAAATTCTATAAAGCAGTAAGAGGCATTGTTCTATTCAATTTTGAGCTATTGATCCAACTGAATGCTTGTTTGGAAATTGCCTTTGCAGCTTTATTTCAACATAAGAAACACTTCTCCCCCCTCTCCCGCCTCTCTTTAAAGATTGGGTATGTGGGAATTTAGCGTACAAGGGCCACATGTTTATGTGCCTCAAATATTTATGCACATTTAAAAGATTCTGTCCTTGAATTAAGCCATTGCTTAATACCTTCAGACTGAACATTTGTGTTTGCTGAGTACAACTGAACCTACCCTTTACTGACACCAGTAGTTTCATCTACTTCCCACATTGCAGAGATCGGCAAAGCATTCCACTTTGCTTCTGTTTGCATGGCTACTTGAATGGGACATTAATCCACCACTGCTTTTCTTTGATGGGTAATAATTTCAGCTATCTTATTGGACCAGTCAAGAAATCATATAATGCAAGGGTAGGGGAACCTTTTTCATTTCAAAGCAGTATTGGAGCATGGCTAGTGCTGCCCGGGGTGGGCATGCAGGTGTCCCCTGAGGTAGGCCCAGCATGGAGGAAGCTTGCTGCACCTCCAGGTCAAGCGTGACTCAGGGTGGCGCTGCTGCGGCTGGCACACTGCAGCCAAGGAAAGTGGGCGGCAGAGTTGCTGCGACTCCTTTCTCTTTCTCTGCCCCCGGGGTTAGGCTTAACCAAGAAGTGGAACTGCGGCTGCTTGTGATGAGCCAATTCAGGCTCCAATGAGGGAGCCTGCATGGGGGGCCCTGGTCGCACCCCCTCAAAAAAAGCAACCCCCAGCCCCTCCCATGCTACACCACTGAGACTGAGGACCAAATTCCCTTCTGATCTACCTTCCAGGGTCAATGGTGGGCAGGATTGGAAGCAAAAGTGGGTTGAATGAAAAATATACCTTTGTATAATAGGACAGTTTTCTGCTCACTCACCCCTCTTCCAAACAAGCAAGAGGTATGAGTAGAGTTCAAGGATACGTTCTAACTATGCAAAAAAACAAAAACAAAACACACTCTGATGCAGGGTTGGTGAGGGATGTGGCTGGTCAGATTGGGAGGCATCCAGATCAAATGCATCTCATCTTCACTTGTATGCCAGAGGGAATGAGAAAATGTACTTACTGTTTATCCTGTCTTTCACCAAAGGTGTCATACATCATTTTTTCCCGTCAGTGTTATCCTCATAACACCTTGAGAGGTACTGTAGCTTAGGTCAAGTAGTAGTTACCAGCACACAGTCACCATGTCAACTTCATAGCTGAGTGAGAATTTGGCCCCTGGTCACCCCATGGTCTGACACACTAAAAACCACACCAGTTCACAACATTATGGCCTCAACTCATGCAGGTGATATGTTCTAATTCATTGGGTTTCAAACTGTATTATAGAACTGGCTTTTTTTGGGAAGGTTATCAGGTTTCCAACTCCCACACATCCGAAGATTAGTAGGGATGCTTGATGAATTTGATTTCTGTTAATTCTAATGTGAAGTGACCTGATGTGAACCTTCTGAACAAATGTGCAGCCTGTAACATAATTATCCTTCAGATTTCATGCTTGTTTGAATTTTGCAATACCATTCCCGGCTCAAAAAGTATGTTTAAAAAAGTGCACATTGTGATAACATACTTTTGGGCCCGTGGACACATTTGCAAACCACAAAAGCCGTTGTGGGCGCCATACACACACCACAACCAACTACACAACACAATAGATTCTGCTGAGTATAAAATTTCTCTTTCAATACTATTTCAGTGGTAGAGGAAGAGCCACTGAAAATGCATACATACACATGTGCACAGGTGCCACATCAACAGTCCTGAAATGCATGTTGAAATATGAAATTTCATGCAGAGATTTATTTCTTTGCATATTTCTAATTATATCAGTCCATTAGGAACAGGGCAGAATAGTCTTAGGTACGAACCCATTTGAAATTGGCACATATATGGATTTCCCTGCAAATACAGCACTTTCACGACACTGGGATGAACAGGGCTCTGTGCATAAAATCACAGAGGTTTCCAGGTCATGTGTGGGTTTTCCTCCTATTCAGGCATTCATGTGCAGTGTCTACAGGGAGCCACATGGCATGACGGGCAAGGCCAGGGGTGCAGCCCCTTCTTTTGCATTCATCTTCATAGTTCACATGTGAAGGAACCCAGGGGCAGCTCTAGGGGAGTGTGGCCAGTGTAGTTGTACCATGCGCAGAGCTTCTAGGGCGCTGGAGCAGGCCCCACCACTATTACTCCAATGGAAGGTGAGAGGCGGGGTGTGTGTGCCAGATTTTGGCATCACACAGATACTTTACTACTATGGCACCCTGAGTTGGGCCAAAAT